AAATAAATAAATGTTTAAAAATAAATAAATAAATAAAATGTACCAGTGATTTTTAAAAAAAAAAAAAAAACTGAGGTTTTGCACTAGGTGTGGTGACACACACTTATACTCCTAGAACTCAGAAGGCTAAGACAAGAGGATCACTGGAAGCTTGAGGCCATCCTGAAGTACATAGCGAGACCCTATCTCTAAAGAGAAAACAAAACGACCAACCAGAAAACTCTGCTAACCGTACTCTGTTAGAAGATTTCCACACATCCTGAAAAATATCGATTGTGAATCATGCAGTTCTTAATACATGGTATTTGTACAGTCAGCACCCAGTTGAGTTTCTCTGAGTTCTGTTTCTGGGAGGTAATGTTTCCTTATGGATCAGGGCAATGTTTGTGAGGAAATAAGCAGAAACTTTTTAAATCTTGGCAGAATACACTGGAACATCAACATTAATTTCTGTTAGCCACCTTAAATCTCACATCCTAACTTGATCTGATAGGCCTGTGCTCTCACTTGAAATAGTAGTCAATTCAGCGATGTTAGCCAGTGGACCATGTGACTGAAATGTACCACACTCACCTGAGGGGGGAACACACCAGAGCATGAGAACCAGGACAGCAGGGCCTCTGCATCCGGGGCAGGCCTCATCTGAGGAGCGATGGCGTCCAGCTCCTGTGCAGCAGCCTAGAAACACTTTTCCTGGGCAGTGTGTCCCGAGCCGGCTCTCGGTGTATGTGACTAAGGTTGTCACTGTGTTCCAGATAGTGAAGGATGACTGTGAGGAGGATGCTCATGTTTTCCGGAAAGCTACCAATGACATCACATCCCAGCTGGAGATTAACTTTGGCAACCTCCCTCGTCCTGGACGCGGAGGCAGAGGTGGTACCCGGGGAGGCCGGGGAAGGATCCGGAGGGTGGAGAACTATGCACCCAGAGCAGAAGTGGTGGTAAGTGGTTGCATTCTCTGTTGGTCCTGGATGTGCACTAAAGCCAGTAAGGGACTAGCATGCCCTGAGCCTGCTGTGGTCTCACTTGGTGTGGGGAAGCCGGTGCTGGCATGGCTGCCATCTGCAGCCACAGCAAGTCCAGAGGTGGGGGTTTGGAGTGGTGATGTTGCATTGTGGACCCCTATCAGGCCAGAACCTGCTGTAACCTTGCCTCAGCATCTTCAGGGAAGGTTGCCATCCACCAGTTCCTCCTCCTGCTCTGAGTTGGACAGGGTCTCCAGCTTGAGATGAAACCAGACCACCTGAATGTTGCTTTCTGACTACGGTCTGACTGGGTGCCCATGCCTAGACATTCCTCCCCTGAGTCTCAGGCCCTTGGAGGCAGTGCCCTCCTGCTCCACTTCTGGCTGTACATCCAGCTCCCCAGCCCATGCTCCTTACCCTGGCTGGCCTTTGCTGCCCTCCTGGACTGAATACTTCCCAGCTCCTTTCTCCTTTCCCGGCAGCATTCTCAATCTGAGCAACGCATCCCTCACTTTGTAGCATTGTCTTCCGGTGGGTGAGTCTCACTGGCCGATGTCTGCTATCTTCAGCAGACAGAAGCCCTGGCTGCCTTTTGCCACTGGTCTGCCAGTGCCCACCCAGCGCATTTCTCCTGTGATAGCCAATTGTGTGAACATGTAAAAGCACTCTGGGAGGCCAGCCTAGGCCAGTGTGTCCTTGTGACCTGGAACCCTTCACTGCCAGAGTCCTAGGCAGTGCTCCTTTTGTTGTGCAGTCCCTTGCCTCAGGGAGTGACCCTAGGAAAAACTCCTGTAGTTTTTATTAAGCAATAGCAAAAACTCAACTTCTTTCCTCAGTATACTTAAGGCCAGTTGCAAAAAAAAAAAGGATTCATTCTGGGACCAGAAAAGACATATTCACACCTCTGAAATAGCAGAGCTCAGGGTGTTGGGAGGTTGTGGGGTGTGTCCCTGAGGCTAGTTAGAAGCACTAGATGTCCTCAGGATGCCTGTGACTGGGGTTCCATTTCCCTGTCTCAGCTCTGCAAAGGTGGAACCCGGTGGTTTACCTCATATCTCTGGCTCCTTCTGGCAGCATGCAATAAACTGTTGTGTTTAGTGGGTGGAGAGTACCCAGCCCCAAGGACTTCTCACTAACAGTGTGGATTTGAAGGACAAAAAGGAAAAAAAAAAAAAAGGATGAAAAGGGATCACAGCTGGCCCAGGCCTGCCTGCACAGGCCCTCACTGTCCCCCCCACTGCGGCCCCCTCAACTCCCAGGGTCTGTGCCAGGTCCCTTCCCCTGGCATATTGGGAGTGGGGACATAGCAGTCAGTTCCAAACCTTTCTTTTCTTTAGACACAAGACATTGCCCCCAACCCGGATGACCCCGAAGACTTCCCCGCTCTGGCGTGAATGGCGCTGTGCCAGCGACCCCCACCTACGAGAGAGACCCTGAGAACAATAGATGTTGCTTCCCAGTGTCAAGTGAACTTGCTGCACTTTCTGTCTGAGGGTATGGGATGCACAAGCTTCTCACCCTCCACTCCCCACTAGGGGTTTCTGTCAGGCACTTTCCAAGCAGGTGAAGAATGGTGACCATTTTTTTAATTTAAGGAATTAATTCCAAATGAAGTTCAGGAATGTTAAAAGTGTACATAGAGATTGTATCAAACCCTCCACCAAAGCATGGAGAGTAGAGTAAGCTGTAAAATATAATCTATTGAGACCACTTAGTAAGTTGTATAGTTCCCAGAAGCTGTATAGATCCCCCTCTTGTACCACAGGAAATAACACAGAATTGTAACTATTAATTTAGAGCAGTCACAGCTTAGTGTCAGAGCGTTTACTTGTAAATGTCACACCCTCCTGAAATTTCCTGAGTTCTCATTTTCAAATAACCGCTAATTCCAAGCAGCTGTTGTACAGCCAGTGGTCACCACTCTGTGACAAAGAACTAGGAAAAGTATTGATTTTTTTAATGGTGATATAAACTACCTCGTGGTGTGTGTGTGTGTGTGTGTGTGTGTGTGTATACACACTCAGTATATACAGTACATATATTTACATAAGTAGCATTTGGGTGGTTTTTAGGAGAAGTATGAAGCATATGATTTTTAAATCATGATATTTAACCCATCAAATGGAAGGTTTCCAGGCCAAGGTTAGCCGCATACCCTTTTCCTCAGAACTGGCATGCGCCTCAGTCTTTGGCCAGGGCCTGGCCTGGCGAAGGACCTGCTCCTCTGCTGCACCAGGCTCCTCACTGCAACCCCAGGCTAGGTGGCACCGCTGGAGCTCAGGGCTCCGCTGTCTTGCCCAGAGCCCATGGGGGCTGGGCAGAGCCAGGCAGAAGTAGCAGTGACTCGGCAGGGGCCATGACGGGTGGCTCATGGTCTGGCGCTGAAGCTTTGTGCTGGGCTCTGCTTCTCATGTTCTGCTGCGGTCTCAGATGGCTCCGAACTGGCGCCCACATGCAAATAAAGGCTGGAATCCCCTCCAAACTGTGCACAGCAAACTCAGTCCCTGCAGCCACACAGAACCACAGTGGAACACTGAGCCCCTAAAGGTGTGATAGTCCAGGGTGCTGGGTGGCAGTGGCTTTGGGTGTCGTTATTAAATGACTGAGCACTAATGTGTATTGGCAGATTGCTTTGTTCTTGCTCCATGGACAACAGTGATTTGAGGGCCTGATCTGGGTGAAGAGACCATGGCCATTGGCGCGCGGGGTGAGGGCTGGCACCACTCTGGGTTATCTTACCTCATCGTGCCTTCACTGGGGGAAACACCTACTTGTGAAGAAGTGCTTGAGAAGCCTATGCCCTCGGAGCATCTGGCTCTGTAGCCCATGGACTTTGCTGTCACTGAGGCTGCCTCACTGACTTGGGGTGAAGAGCTGCGGAGTTCCTCCCTGTGCACTTTCTGGGCTGCCTGGGGCCAGCCATAGCCTTAGTAGCCCAGAGCAGACAGCAAGAGAGAAGTAAGGGGCGGAGGAAGTAGTCCATACGGTGACCTGCTGTTTGGACGCAGAAACGAGGACCTTCCTGGCTAGAGTCCCCTGCCTTGAAGGTGCTGATGGCAGGTGTGTCATTGCAGAGTGAGACACCCTTGTACCACAAAACCAAGCAGGTTAATCCCACAAAAGCAGCTATCAGGTCCCTGCAGGTGGAGCTGAAGCCAGGGTGAGCCAGCCAGTCTGGCCGCAGGGCGACTTGGGAACTGCAGGGTCACAGGCATCCAAGCAGGGGCAGCCAGGCTGCAGCTGTGGGTGGAGCTGGGGTGAGGTCTGCTGACCTTGGGAGCAACCCTGCAGTGACAGCCATGCCCAGGCACATTCAGAAGAACCCCAGGCTGTGCCCTCTGCTCCAACCGGATGGAATCCAAGTGCACTTCAACCCACGGGCTGGCCTAAGGTGGTCCCACGCAGGCTGAGAGGGTTCTGCTCTCTGGAAAACCCAGCTACAGCCCAGTGCCGTGACTCTCCCTCAGGCATCGTCACCCAAGCTGAGCAGCCCACGCCAGGCCGCTCCTTGCCAGTATTGGCTGGACTTAGCTCCTTTCTCACTGTCCAGCCACGCACCCCATGCCCTCGGTGGGGGCCGTTTCACCTGCAAGGGCTTCATGGTGCCTTTGAAGCCACTGCATGTGGTAGCATCGTGAATGCCATGTAGCAGCTGCACCCACATCTCAGAAGATGGCAAGGGGCAGGAAGTGCCCTTTCCGGGCCACCATGTGCAGCCTGCAGGTGCCCATCTGGCCAACCAGTGCCTCCCAGCTACTCCAGTACCTGGAACAGGCCTGGTATGTGAGGTAAATGTTTACATTTTAAAAAAAATTTACTACAGTAAAAGGCACATTGTCATTCATTCCTCTCAGAATCCTCCCCCTCGCTCTGAACACACTTATCCCATCACTCTTGCCACTTCCTGAAGCAGTTCTCAAGGTTCTCTTCCTCACCTGTCAGGGGTGAATGCAAACAAATGCTGCTGTGGCAGGCTTGTGAGAACATCGTGATGGGTCCTCATCCACCTGCCTGGTGCTCTGGATCGGTCCCATGTGGCTTTGGCTCCTCTGTGCAAGGGGGACATTGCATTGCTTCACGACACCAAGGCTGCCACGACAGTGCAATTAAAGGCACTCAGGAAGACTCGGGGGGCCGGGGATATATAGTTCAGGAGCATAAGCACACCTGCCTGGCAAGCACAAAGTCCCAAGTTCAATCCCCAGTAGCAAAAAAAGGACTCAAGCTCTGTCAGGAGGTGTTACAGTGGGATAAGATGGTATTTGAGGTGGAGTATCTGGAGTGGGAAGTGTGGCAGTCGTCTCTCACTGTAATATATCTAAATATCATAAGTTTCAATCCCACCCCCACTCTGCAAGTTGAGATGCCATTTCCTTCTGGGCCTGTCTTGTGGGCTGTGCCTGCATCTCCCCGCTCCTCCTGAAGGGGGAGTCCTCAGTCCTCAATTGCCTCCAAGGGCGTCCTCAGCACCTGCGCCCGCCAACGAGCAGCTAGATGCCCCTCGTGCTGCCTTGCAGCTGCCTCGCCTGACTCCCATGGGAACCACATGGTGCTGTCTGCCCACCCCCAGCTTGGTCTGGGCAGTGGCAGAGGCAGAAATGAGGCTCCTTCCTTCCCTGAAAGTCTCAGGAGGAGGGGACTGACGAAGGCCCATGTGCACTTGTGTGGACAAGAGGGGCCACCCCAGCAGGTGTGAAGTGCTTGTGTCAGTCCTTGGAGGCAGTACATTCTAGGCCACCCCGTCACTGTCACTGGAAAGTGGGAGCCACAGGAGGCTGTGGGAGCTGCAGGTAGGCAGCAGGCAGCCTCACCAGCAGCAGGGGCAGTGGCTCTGCTCTCCCAATCCCCATAGGCTCCTGCCCATGCCCCACTGCTGTAGGAGAGCCTCTGCCTGGGTCACAAGGTTTCTGGGGACTCAAGATGACAAGAGCACCCCTTCCCACGCCACAAGGCTCCCTCACCACCTGCTCCATGCACAGGGTCACGGAGTGAGAGAGAGAGCGCTGCCTCCTGAGAGCGCTGCCTCCTGAGTCTGCAGCAATGTGTCTGGCTCCAAGGGCAACAGTGTCCCCAGGAGTGCAGAGCCACCTAAGGGGAATGCCAAGGCCTGGTAGCCTGGTGCTGCTGGAGTGTGTGTATCTGCACACCCTTGCTGTGTAGCCAGACCTCAGGGACTTGTCACATTCCCTTGGGCACCCTACACAACTGTACCTGACCCACTCCGGGTACAGTCATCAGCCGATGACTTTGCCTTAGCATAACAGTGAGGAAGGCCCTTAAGGATCTGCAGCAAGTTCTAAATTCTCTCAAAATGCAAACTGGTGCATGGTGTGGTGGCCCGTGCCTGTAATCCTAGCAATCCAAAGGCTGAGGCAGAAAGACTGTCAAGAGAGTTCAAGGCCAGCATGTACTACATAGAGAGACCCTGTCTTAAACACAACAACAAAAACTATAGTCTAAGGGCTGGGATTGCATTGTGGATAAAAAAATTTAAGTGTGATCTTTAGCTGGGTGTGACAGTACACAGTTGTAATTCCCACACTCTGGGAGGCCAGAGGATGACAAGTTCAAACCCAACCTAAGGGTCGGCCAAATAGCTCAGCATATTAAAGTGCCTGCAAGCAGGAGCAGCAGCTGGGGGTTCGATCCTCAAGCCTGCTGTGCCAGCCCCACCCCCAGGACATCCTGAGACAGCGATTGAGACTGGGCATGGTGGTGCATGCCTGTAATCCCAGCACTTGGGAGGCTGTAAACAGGTGGATCACTACGAGTCCAATCTAGTAGTGAGACCGTGAACACCCTGTAGACCCTTCCCTAAAATAATAAAAAAAAAAAATCTAAGCAAATTAGTGTCTTAATGAGACCCTGAAAACATTTCTAAAATAATTTTTAAAAAGACTAAGGATGTTGCAAAGGCCCTGTGCTCAATCCCCAATACAGAGGAAAGATTGAATATGTAGAAGGATGGGAAGGGGGGAAAAAATGAAAGAAAGGGTAGAGGAGAAGGAAGGAAAATAAAAAGAATTAGGAAATGAAGTAGAAACTTTTCTTCAGAGTTGGAGGGCTCAGGCCCCACCATGTCATCAAGGGTCCTATTTGAAGGAGCTTTAAACCCTACCATTCTGAGCACTACTGCTACATGGGACATGGCCAGCCTGGTTACTCAGGCTGGTAGCAACTGGCTGAAATCCCAGTACCAGTGACAAAGGAGGCAGACACAGATTCTCCAAGAGACTTGGATTGCTTGTAGCAAGAGGGCAGCGGGGAGCGCGGGGCAGCACCCAGCGCCGTGATCTGTCGGAGTTGCTCAGTTGCTGTGGATCCTGAGCCAGGTGAAAAGCCACTCCAGGAAGGTTACGGTCCGAGATAGCCAACCGTCACTGCAAAAAGAAGGGGATGATCAGGGCACGTGGCTCCAGGAGGAACAGAGGGCTTGGGTAGCCACGGGCCCTTTCCCTCAAAAGCCAAAGGGACACTTGCTGCAGCTAAAAGACGCACCGCCCATGAACCTGTTTCGGGACCCTAAGTATCCTCAGCTGGGTCATAGCAGACCGCCCCCCTTTCAGGGAGGGTGACACTGGGCAAGGTTCCTTTTCTGTAGCTGCTGCACAGTGAGGGTCCCCAGCCAACAGCAAGATGTTCACTTAGCCACCTCTGGTGCCCCGTGTTCCCCTGCTGCTGCCTCTAGCAGTGAAGTCATCCCTCTATCCCTGCCTCGGGCCACAGTACGACAGAGCATGGCACCCCTCACAGCGCAGTCCCCACGGAGGGACAGTGAGGCTCCTGAAGTTGGTTGAAAACACAGCTGGGGGCGGGGGGACAACCAGACAGGTATGGGTGCTGGACACAGCATTCTCTGGAGAGGGAGAATTAAGAAAATTTTGTTTCACAGAGATACAAGCCCACAATGAAAAGCAGCCTTGTCTGTCTCCAAGAAAATCAATACTGGCTCCCTGGTGTCCCTTGTCCCACATGCTTAAAAGCGTGCTCTTTGGCCACTGGGAGGACAGGCAAGGGCCGAGGCTGGCCTTGCTGTCAGCCATGCTGTGTACTGGCACCACCTTACCTGAGGACTTGTGGTCCAGGAACATGTCACCCACGAGCAGGGCAAAAATCACGCAGACTTGCTAGCAAAGTCAACACAGAAGGCAAGGAAGCCAGGTGCACTTCCCAAGCACCGAAGGGCCTGCACCCTACATGGCCCAGGGCTCCAGTGATCGAGCCGGGGAAGGGTCTGAAGGAGATGCCCAGAAGGGTCCATTTTCTCCTCTAATGAATGGACAGAACTATTGAGACTACACCACAGGGTTATTCTGTGCTTGGAGACAAAAATACCCAAATGTGCCCCTGGGGCTGGTGTCCTGCTGTCAGTTCATCACCTGCTCACCAGTGTCTCCACGGCCACCCATGCAGGGGAGGAAAGGCGGGACCTGCAGGTCCTCACGTTCCTCTTGAAAGCAGTACAGTCACATTTTTATATTTTACTAAACATACCACATATGGCTCTTGGAACGCACCAGGCACACATTCTAAGTGAGAAGCAAACATTAACTCATTCAACTCGCGCACACAACCCCGCAAGAGTGACAGTGCCAGCTCTTTGAAAGAAACAAAGGCCTCCGAAGAGGCCACGTTACTTGGCCGAAATCAAGGTGACATGGACAGAGCCATCACTTTACCCAATCTGAGCCCAGAAGCCATGCTCTGAACAACTACATCACCTTGAAAGAATTAATGTGCACTGCCCAGGAAAGATGTATGGAGGAGAATGTTCACTCAGCAATGTACCCGGGAACGTGGTGGCAGCCCCATGTGACCCAGCTTGGGCCAAGGATTCCAGGTCCCTGGATGCTGTGCAGGTGGGAAAAATGTTTTCAGAGAATTCCTTCCTAATGTGCTGTTTGCAAGGCACCAGAGTGGGACAGAGCAGCACTGGGGTGCTTCCTGGGAGCACTGGAGCCCACGCACAGCCACCAGGTACCTGGTACCCCGCCAACACTCCTTGCTCACCAGTCCTCTTCCTCAGGGGAACCAGTGAGCTTGGCGGCAGAGGCCCAGGCCAGGGTGAGGAGGCACATCTCTGCTCAACAGTCACGTTCAGGGGCTTGGTGCCCCCTTCCAGTCACAGGAACTTGTTCCACATTTTTTCTTAAAGTCTCCTAGCGTGACAGGTCCATGGAATTATATATCAAAAAACATCAAAAAAAGAGTGGCCATCATATGCTATTTGTCTTTACCTAATTGTCTAGATGTAATTATCTAAAACCTAAGTTTATTGATGGCTATCTGCCCATAGTGCTATGTTTTAAGTACTCTGCATGCAGTAGCTCATTGATTTTCAAATTAACTGCTAAAGCAGGGATTCTTTTTGCCTGTTGTCCTTAAATAGAAGCAAAGGGGTTAAAGGACCACCCACTTGTTAGATGGGAAAGGGACAGTGTGGCTCAGGATGGGAGGACAACAGGAACATAAGACAACAGAACACACCGCACAGCTCTGAAACACCAGCCTCCAAGCCAGCCCTCCACAGAACTTACTTCCTGAGCGTCTGGGCCCTTGCACATGCCTAGACCTCAAACACCCAGCATGGGACAGGGGACACGAGACAGGGGACAGGCAGCTCCTCACAGCTGTAAGGGAACCAGGGCAGGAGTCTCAAGAGGGACAGGAAGACAGGTTAGACACTGAATACTTGTGACCTGGAAGAGAGCCAAGGCCCAGCTCCTTGGAGAACTGGGGAGCATTCAGGTCTGAATCCTAGACCCAGGCCTCCACAGAACTTACTTCCTGAGCGTCTGGGCCCTCCTCAGACCACGAAAGGCCAGAGACCAGCGCAGAAGCCAGCATCCTGTGTGAGATGTCCCATGTGCAGAGCACTAAGATCTGCCCTGCTCAGCCCGGCAACTGAACACGCTAGTCTAGGCCTGCAGGCCTCCCCTGCCTGCTCTGGAAGGAGCCTCACCAGCAGTCAAGCCTTCGTACCACCCGTGCTGGGGCTGGGGTGTGAAGCTCTTTAGTTGTGTGCTCTAAGGATGCAGTAGGAACTGCCTACTGACAGGGTCAGATAAAAAGAAATCAACCCCTCAGGGTGAAAAGCTAATTCAAACAACTAGGCCAAGCTTAGGCACAAGAAAAAATACAAGCAGAAGGATAAAAGGAAAGAAAGGAGGTAAAGACCCTTTCCTCCATCCTCCATTAAGATACATTAATTTGGTTGACAGTCCCTTCTTATCTTGGGTTACTTTTTACTTGTTGCTGGGAGAAAATACCTGACACCCAAAATTAAGGAAGGAAAGGTTTATTTGGCTCAGTTTGTGGTGGTTTTAGTCTATACTTGAAGCCAAAAAAAGTCCTTCTCAGTCTATACTCGGCTGGCTCCAAGGCAGGTGGCACATGGCAGAGGACAGCAGTTCACAGAAGTGGAAAGCAGTGAGGAGCAAAGGGAGGGGCAGCCGCTGTGGCTTCTAGCCAGTCCCCCAGTTGCCCCCCCACACACACACCTTGTATTATAAGCAGGCTACCCTGGGCTGGGGGTGTAGAACTCACACAAGGTCCGTGCCCTCCTCTTGCACAGGAGGAAGATGTTTACAAACTAAGAACCCTGGCTCTCTGCTCAGTCACTTATTAAACTTCTAAACTTCTCAAGTTGATAGTGTATGAGCCACTACACTCACCTCCAACCTGGACTTCTAAAAACTTAAAATGCAGAGTAACCAGTTTCCTCAGAATTCAAGTCTCCTATGAACTAGCTGAATAACTAATCCCCTTTGTTAGTGTGACAGGGTCTCATTATGTAGTTCAGGCTGACCTTCAACTCATTATGTAGCCCAGGTTGGCTTCCAACTCACAGCAGTCCTCCAGCTTCAGCCTCCTAAACGATGGGATTACAGGCCTGCACCATTATGTCTGGCTACTAATTTCCTTTATTCTTTTTTTTTTTTTTAATGTATTTGGTTGTCACAGGGTCTTACTACCCAGCTCAGACTCATAGCGATCCTCCTATTTTCAGTCTCCCAGGGCTGGGATTACAGGCATGCGCCACTACGCCCATACGCCCAGACTCTATGGCCTGCTCAGCCGTCCCTAGGGGCAGGGCTGGTGTGGCATGTGCCAGGGATCGAACCATGGTTCCTGCGCTTGCCTAAGCAGGTGCTTTAGTCTGCTGAGCTATATTAATTTCTTTTAAACCCCACAAAGTCACCAGTTTAAAACAAGTCCCCATATATAAGGCCAAAAGCAAAGAATGTACATCAGACTTCTTTCCCTTTTGGGTGACTACAAAGATTTTTTTTTCTTCTTTCTTTTTTTGAGACAGGATCTCACTACAAAGTCCAGGCTGCCTTTGAACTCACTGTGTAGCCCAGGCTGGCCTCCAACTTGTAGGGATCCTTTTGCCTCAGCCTCTTGACTACAGGAACTATAGGCACATACCACTATACCTGGCTTGCTTTTAGAAATTATTATCATTTAAAATATTCTCATAAATTTTTCTTTTTGTCTCCAAATTTATTCTCCAGTTCTGGGAGACAAAAAATTGAGTTAACACAAGATTAACTGCTTTGGGCGACCTACAGGACACTGTCGCTTCCTCACCATCTTACTCGTATACTCCCCAAGTCCCTGAGCCATGTGCCTCAGATAGGTCTGGAACTGGAGTCAATAAAAAGGTAAGTGAAATACGTGAACTGAGGGAATAAACTGCTGTTTAAAGTCACTCAACACTGGTCTTTACTCATGCTTGCTCTGAAGCATTAATCAAGAAGGGTTACATCCGCTTGATATTTTACCACTTCCTACTATAATTCAGCACACTAAGAGAATACAATACACCACAAGTCGGCTTAGTTTTAATACTTTTAATTACGATTGTAATTACACAATTGCCACTATTCAGCATTTTGTATAAAAACAGTTACAATACACAAGATTTTCAATTGCAACAGTATGTATCAAACTACATATATATGCAAAGTTTACAGGCCATTAAGAAGCTTTATCTTAAAAATACCTTCATGAAAATAAACATTCAACCTCTCAGCTTTAAAAAATGATTAGAAATATACATTTTAATAAAAAAATCAACACAACGATTGATCAAATACTGATTACTCAGTTATTTTAAAACTCTTAATAATCTGTACATGAGTGCGCATTAGATAAAAGCCCACCAAGTATTAATATAAAACTGCAGTACTCTAATCCCATGAACAAGTCTGCTGACAGTTCCACTGGGTAGTTAAGGAGGTAACTTCCTACACAGTATAGGCGAATCGTCTAGTCTTTTAAATACATCTATAGTATTTCCACCCATCCACATGGAAAATACTCAGATTTAGGAGAAAAGGAAGAGCAGCAACTAACCTCACCAGGGCATTTCAGTGGAAGAGAACTACTCAAAAAATAAAGGATGGTTTAAGGTGGTTGCTGATGAGTGCTCCTTTCTGAAGTGCAGTAAGAGTTTTTTAAAAAATATTATGAAAAGGGGCAGCTGACCTGCTCTTAGAACACCCAGTAGGAGCCTTGGTCATCTCTCAAGGCTGGTGCTGCAGGCAAAGGGGAAGCCCCAGGAAGGTAGGCGGCACAAGACAATCTCAGACCCGGTCAGGCAAATCGGCCTCTATAAGACAACACTGACTCCCAAGAGCAGACACCACTCCCCGGATCGTGGGGAGGAGGCCTGGGTTAAAGAGGATCAAGTTTGGACCTGGAAAACTCGGCATACAACTGACTCTCTGACTCTTGATGATCTGAATCCCCAGAAAGCTTCAAGGGCACCTACGGATATTCAATTCTAATCTTAATTCCATCCGAAGTGGTTTGGGTGGACTTTAATGCTATTTAAGGCTCTAAATCAAAGGAAGCTGGACATCTGACAGGCACTGTTTTCTACGCCATGGCAACAGGGTCACATGTAACAGGCCTAAGTCACACTCCAGCTCTCGGAGCAGTCCTGGTTCTGGCCAGTGGGGAGTCCGCTCTTACAGCAGGAAAGACTTTAACTGTTGCTATACAACCTGTCTGCTGCACTGCTCCTGCTCTTCTGCCTATACAAGGACCAATTAACTCCAATGAGCTTGTTAGACATGGGGATCAGGGATTGTTAGTGAGAGCCCCAGGCGTAACAATGCTACTGGAAACTTGAGCAGCCAACACAAAGCGATTCATAAAACAAAAAAGCACTACGAGCAGCAGTGAGGCCCAAAGGTTTCACTCTTGGCCAAGACCCCACACACTTGTTCACAGGGAGGGAGCAAGATGGGGGAGACGGGGCACGTTTCCTTGCTCTGCCCTAAGAGAAAGCCAAGACATGCACAGCTCCGAGGGCAGTGTGGTCTGCATCCCACCTGGATGAGGAATGGAGCAGCAGGCCTCAAAGGATGCGCTGAGAACCAGGATTTACATCCGGGCACAGGACGAACATTCTGTCTCCTGGCACAGGAGAATGCTCCTCGTATGCCTACTCATTCCCAGGGACAGAAAACCACTGTGTCCTGGGCTTCAGCCCCCAGGTTTAGATGCTGGTGCAATCCCACTCACTAGGCCTGCTGGCCAAAGAGCTGCCCCTCTCCAAGCCACTCAGTGTCTCACTTCACCCCAAGGGTACAACAGTGAAATGAGGAACCACCGTCTTCTAACTCCTTTTTGAGTAAACACACTTCAGTGTGTTCCAACTACAAGAAGGGTAGCCTAGTCAGCAGGACCCCAGCCCTAATACATTCGTCTGGTCTCCGGATAGCCCTGCCCTCTGCCACGCTCCAGTCCCAGAAGCACGGACCAGACCTGGCTCCCAGGAAGTGGGATGTGCCTTCCTAGGACGGCCCTGGACAGCAGGAGCAAGGGATCTGCAAAACAGTCTTTAATCATGGGCCCTGGTTTTTGTTTTGAGCAGCAGATAAAACTATTTTATGATTGCTTCCATCACAGCCCTGCTGTGTTTCAGGAGGGGGTAGGGGAAAAGGCACGCTGCAGTTACTAGTTGGATTCCCTAACCAAAGGCAACAGTGAGTTCTCTTACTACAATCCAAAATCCAAAAGCAAGTAATCATTACTGAAATCTGAATACATGAATGGCCATACACTGATTATAAGAGAAAAACAAAAATCCACAGTGTTACAGAAGATTCTGAAATGTTACAACATTTTTGTTTTTAAAGCCAACATTATTTGGGGTTGTGGTTTTAAAGGGTAAAAATCAACAGCGGGCACCTCCTGCATATGCAAGGAAAGAAATCTGACTTGACTTTGTGTGGCTGGCAACCTAGAGATACACAGCCTTGCTGTTCTGTAGTCCGTGAGAAAAAAAGGACTTGGCAAGAATCTTCAACTCTGAAACCAGTTTCTCCGCTGGAGTCTTCTAAAGCTTCTATGAATGTTCTCTGGCAAGTCTGAGGGGCGCACAGTACCATTTGGCATGACAGCATGCAGCAGTGTTTTCACGGGGGCTTCACAGATTCATGTTCATAAAGCACTCTTTGGTAGAAGACAAGCAGCTTGGGTACTTCACAGAGTAAACATGACAAAAGTATCACAAAGGGCAAAGAGAAGAGGAACCCGAACGGCATCTGATGACAGGAAGTAGCATTCCTGAAAAGACTGGTTTATCTTTACAAAGATCCACACAGAATCACAGGGTGAACAGAAAATAAATACGTACGAAACCTCCATCACATCCTCGGCTCTTCTGATGGGCAGCAGCAAACACAACTGCCACCTTGGGGACACACGTGGACCACCAACATCAGCTCTCCAGACGGCAGGGGGCCGTGGTATTTAAACCTGAGACTAAATTACAACATCATTTCCTCATTTGGCTTGAGAATTCTGCAAAAATGGCAAGCTGGGCCTTTCAAGTCTTCTTTTATCCCCAAACCTGGGGAGTTACAGAGCCTCCATCAGACGTTTTCTTCAGTGAGTAAATTTCTTAGGTGGAAGCAACTAAGGCTTTTGCAATTTCTGTTTTGTTCTTAAATAAACTGCTAAGTCCTGCAGGAGTTTTCTGTTCCTAGAATCTTTCTTCAGTTCAGGTCACAGGTTTCTACTTAGCGCAAAACTGTTTTGGTCCTTGAGATGGAGGGACTGAGGGGGGAAAAAAAAAGATTTTACCATGAAGGCTTGAAAATGTCCCTGAAACAGTTATCACAGACAAGGAAGGCAACGTAATAAAAATATTGACATGCTGAAAGTACGTGTTTTGTGTCTTTTTTTTTTTTTTTTTTTAATGGCAAAGTTTTGGAGAAGACAGTACAATATCAATCATAAAGTAAAGATAAACAAGAGAGAAAGGCAGAGCAGAAAAAGGTTCAATTCTGGGGAAAAAAGAAAAAAACTACAAAAGAAAAGGAAAGAAAAACAAAGAAAGATGGACAGGCAAGGGCAGCAGATCAAGGCAAGTACCATAACGCCCCCAAGGGCCTCTGCTGCAAAGTATTCCTTCTCCTTCTTTCCCGCTGAGGAACCAGGCTGTGGGAAAGCGCAAAGGAGATGATGAGATTGTTACCAGATGGTTTCAAAAGCCAGGATTTGGTCACAGAAAAGGCTCCAGCACCTCAAGCATTTTCCAGCTCCGCCAGGTCCCCCTTCCTCGGCAGGCTGTGTGCGTCTGCGAGGGAAGCGCCCCTGGGGGACACGGACAAGGATCCAAGGACCCAGCTTCTCACCCTCCCTTCCTTCTCCAGCGTGTCCTGTGACACTTCGAACTCAAAAGCAACTTTCAGAGGAAAGGCAAAAGCAGAAGCGAGAGTCAGGCAAACCACTTCCACTCTGGAGGTGAGAGCACGCCTGCTTGGAGGAGGAGGAGGAGGAGGAGGCTTGTTTGCACTGATAAGACACCCAAAAGAGCACTGAATTTAAAACACTCAGGTCAGCCAGCAGAGGCAAGTGGGGAAATACCTGGAATTTCAAAGGGACATGAATTAGTACTTTAAAAGAGCAGAGGGAACCAGCATTTTTAAAAAGAACACTTAGAACATGCTAGGACCCCTACGCTGCTGTGCTCCTGGAGACAACGGCAGTGACAAGGCACACGAGTGCTAGAACACGCACCAAGGTCTGCTACCCTGAGGCTGAGATGCAGGGAAAGTGGCTCTGCAGAGGGATGTAAATAGTCAGAGAAGTGTCGCTCCTCCTAGCAGAAGGCGCAGGTGAGCTTGGGAGGCAAAAGAGACAACCCGAGTATCTCTCCCCAAACCCTATGAATAAGTGGATACCAAACACCCCAAAGCCATTCACAGGAGGTTGCCTTGGCAACTGAGCAGAGCGATGGCTCCCAAAGATGCAATTTGAAATATGTCATTTATACACCACAGATCTCTTAAACAATGGGATGAAATAATTTAAAAAGAAATGACCTCCCCAAATAAAAGCTTCCAGAAACATGCACTTGTCATGCACTTATAGGGAACACTGGGGATGCATGAGGTGACGGCAGGAGATGGGCAGAGGCCAGGCCTGTGACACCATCAGGACTCGTCCTAAGAGAGCTCTTCACACACCCAAATCCAAAAACGACAAAACCCAATTCCAGAAACAGTTAACTTAGCCAATGGGTTCAATAATCTTTAAAAGAGAAAGGTTAGGGTGGGCTTGGACTCTAGTAGGAGGGAGGTACAAGAGCCCTGGAGTTTCCTCTGTGGACTTGAGAAAAGAAAGAAAGTGGAACCGTCTCGCATCAGCACTAAGGGACTGGCCTGCTGGCCACCTGTCACCCAAGCCACACACGTTCGGATAGAGCTTACATCCAGGGGATACTGCCATACCAAGCATGTTGGCATTTCTTTCCTAACAATGAATGTTTAGGGGGCAATACTCCCCCACCTGCAACTGCTCTTTCAACAGGTGTGTGTGTGTGTGTGTGTGTGTGTGTGTGTCCATCCAAAGCTGAAGAGTCTCTCAGTGAACTGTGAGGATCAAAGGAGCCAATTCAGTGCCAACTTGGGGGAGGGATGTCCGGTCTTCATTCCTAAAGCTTCAGAGAATAGATGAGGACGCAAGCGGACAGCCAGGCTCCTCCACATCGGGTGGCAAAGAGCCTGTGACTGGACCTGGAACAGAGGCCTCCCCTCCCCTTCAGAAGCGACATCTGGCAGCCCTCTGACTGGCTCCCAAATGCCCCCACCTAGGCACACACAGAGAGCGCCCTGGGGGATGGGGGAGGTGGGTAAGGTGGGGTCCTGCTGCTGTTTAAGGAAGACCTGTCAACTGAGGAGCTCAGAATTACTCAACAATCTTAGCTCATACTATTGTTCCCCAGGTATGATTACACACTAATACGTTAATTCCTTCATTACCTTCTGACCCAAGCCCAGTAGTAACAGCAGGTGGGACCAACACTCCAGGCTGTAGCGTGGCTGCCTCACATTCCTGTTCTGACCTAGAAGTAGGTGGTGGGATACTGCACATAATCTGTCTGCCTTTCTTATATAAGCCACAGTACAAGGATAACAAGCTGAATCACCCCAACAACCCATACAGAGCAAAGTGGGCATGAATCATGAAACCAAAGATTCTCTCTGCTGTCCTTCTTCCGCCTCTCTGAAGCCTCTACGGATGTCCACTTAAACTGTATTACAAAGGGGGCTGTTTTGGCTTCGGTCACTTCCTGGAAGCTGTTTTGGGGGTCGATCCATCATTCAGCCCACCTTATTCCATCTGACCTGTTTTAGACCCCTTAAAGCATCCTGGCCAGGGCCTGAGGTAGACACTCACTGCAGTCAGGAACCATGCTCCTATAAAGCACAACAGAGGTCCCTCAAAATGACACAGCAAGGAGACCTGGACAGAAAGGGCACAGCCAGTCTCCTCACAGGAACAAGGTGGCACTTGGCTGGCTTGGTCCAGGGTCCTGGCAGCATTTCTACTGCTCTGTAACCTCAAATGGTCCAATCCAAAAAGCAAAAAGCAGATTAAGTGTACAAGACCCACTTGTGCAGAAGGCCCGAGTTCTTACACCAGAAAAGAGCATGCGCCCTTTAGCAGGTAAATGGACACCCACCAAAAGCAAGGTCCCCAACTTTTGACGCAGTTTGATCATTTTGAAGTTTCAGAGATAAATACTTCCCTTTTCTGCCCTTTACTGTAGAAAAGTTGGAAAATAAAGTGACAAGAAAAAAAAATCCTCAACTGTTCTACCAACCAAAAGAATGTCAGTATTATGGTATTGTTCTTTTATTTCTCTACATATACAGAAATTTGTCTGTCTGTAAACACTTATATTGCTACCGGTGTCTCTCTACATAGTGTAAAGCACATTTACAAAATGAGGCTAAGACCTCAGCACGCCGACATGAAGCTAGCTCTTTTTGCTTCTTTTCAGGAACTTTTATCTAGGTCATGAAATTCTTTTTTAAACCTGACTCAGGCCCTATAGTGCATGTTTTCTTTCTGTTTACAAGGTCCTGGGCTGTGTTCCCAGCACCACCAAAAATAAAAGTAAATACAACCTCGGCTCCTTGAACACTCTCCAATTTATTCCCTATTTCCTGCTGTCATAAAACAACACTGATACCATATCTCAGTGCACTTATCAATCTTTGGCCTCTTGTTAGCGTCACTCTAATTTTCCTGTCAAGCAGATTCAGACAGTAAAACAAGTATGTATATTTGATATATTCCTAATAAAAAATTTAAGATCCTAAAATCACGAGTCGGAGCCCAACAATTGTGAAATAGGCCGGGTACATTCTCCTCATCCGAGTCTAACTGCTCTATAAAATTCCACAGAAGACTTAGTTGTGAGGAAGGACAGAGGTGAATCCCCCAAATGCCTCGCAGTGGCTGTTCTGGGATATAACTAACTGAGCACTGGGACAAAGGATGTGGGCCCAAAGCCCTCAGCATGCAGGGAAGTGGAAAAAGAGTTGGGGGATTGTTAAGGACACTGGAAAATCTGGATCTGATTACCTGCAGGCTGCTCCTGGATTAGTGTAAAAGCCCTGCTTCTCTAAGTGCAAAATTCCCACTTTGCACACCCTCTACACCTACAACACCCAGGAACCCAATGACCTACCACTGCCTCACAAAGGACTATTGTGGGGATAGTTTAAAAATTAAATGCCTGCCCTCAGTCTGTAATACACATCCAAAGACACAGCAAGCCACTGGCCTGGTCCCAGGACTGGCCCAATTTCTTGTTAGAACCTGTACTTAGCAAATGGTGTGACGTGCCGGGACACAAGTGGGAGACACAGAAGACTTTTGAGTGAAGGCTGCCACCAAGACGAAAGGGAGCTACCAGGTCAAGAGGAACCCCAAAAGGGACCTAAATTAATGTTTTCACATCATACTTAGAGTGCAGCTTACTGCACAATGATTCTGTATCATCCCATAAACAGACAGAAGTGTTCATCAAAACCCTGATAGGATGCTTTGGAAATATTTAAAGTTATAAGAACAATATTCTCAATTTTTCCATGTCATGACTCAGAGACTACCATGGTAAGAACTTCCTCTGAACAACAAAAGCAAACGAAAGCCTACATTCAAGTGGTCCAGACTTTCAGATAACCAACCCACAAAACATATCCGATCAAATATTTCCCATGCAGGAAGGTGCCTTTCTCCTATCATCTTTTGAGTCTCCAGAAGTAAAGTCTAAAAGGTTAAGCTAGAAACTGATGCTTGGAATTTTTCAATAGAACAGGATTCTTTTCTCACCTTTTAAAACTGCTTTTCCTCGAAGCAGATCTGGTGGTTCTTTTAGTAATGCCTGCACTGCCAGAAAGGTTAGGTTCAGATGTTTTACAGCTCTGAACACTGGACTGAAGAATTACTCTGAAAACAGGTGGAAAAAAATAAGATTATACGCACTGAAACAACTTTCAAATACTTGAGAGAGGAAGGCATTTTTGCACTTCAGCACAAACTGTTTCACTGTGAATCACAGGATTTTCAATAAACATATTTGGAAAAAAAAGGAAATATGTTGCTTGAGACCAAGACTTTTTTAAAATGAAGCACCTCATCTCCCTTTTTATACAAAGATAATCAGGGTGCTTTACTTTTGGAGAATAAGTGATTTGACATTATAAGCAACTGCACCAAAGAAATCCATCAGTCAAACAAACCTGAAAGAGGACACC